GAAAATCAAAATGCAAAGGACAGAAACAACATGGCTGGCATCTGGATAAAACGTCACGCTCTTCCTCCTCACCTCAAGCCTCATCTCCTGAACTGAAGTCGGGGCTCTAACACACGAAAACGACAGTTATTGTCAGCAGATTGGACATGTGACCGTTCCATCTCCGAGCAGCTGACGTTAAGTCGGCTAAATAACAAAAACAGCTTGATTACAACTGTTTGATTACATTCTCATACTGTGTGAGTTCTTGAAGTTTCCAAGTCCAGCAATGTTAGACCCACTAACGCCAGCTAACAGCAGCTAACACTGACAAAAACACCAGCGCTTACTGACAGAAAACATTGAGGATATCCTCAACATCAGTATATCTGTCAGTGCACAGAAGCGAGCTTCGCTGACTCCTCGACTCCTTTTACCTCCTCCAGACTAAAAGGGCTCACTAAAGAGTAATGGTGATCCTACTGTAGCTACGACTACGCTCTGTAATCTATGGACGTCTAATGGTGAGATTTTCCACACTGCACTAAACGTTGGAAATACACATCTTGTCCCTGGCCTATAGCTTCAGGAGATGAGGTGGTAGTGATAGATATGTCATGGGTATGCTGCTGCTTCCTTCAGCAGAGTGATACGGCTGATGGATGTTAGTGGAGAGTTTAGCAAATGAGTGTTTGGTGAGATCTTTACAGCAGGTATCTCCATCTCATATCAGAACATCCCAGATCTTTAAGCATATATGAAATGTTTATTTAACTTTTACCAGTAAGAGAAACCAGTGGTATATAAGAACCAAAAAAGCACCACGCAAACACCTCTTTTACAGTGATAACAACCATCAAACACCAGCATGGTAAGTTCCTATGCCATGACTGCCTGTGTATCATACACCCCTGCAGCTCAAAGACACTTTGGAAATGAAGTGAAAGTGGGAACTACCACAAAAATCCATTTTTCTAACTTTGGCATGTGTAAATGCGATTAACAGCGTAGTCAGTCATGAAAATAAATGCAAATGCAGGGTTGACGTTAAAAGATAAAGGACTTTCTGTGAAAGCTGGAATGTGCACACGAAAACTTCCAAAAATGAGTTGAATACACCAATCACCACCTCCCTGAGCCCAAAGTGACATCTTCAAATAGCTTTATTGAGTTGTGTAAAGGTATAAAAGATTTTTTTCCCTATAATGTCAAGCTGCCAGAAACGAATACAAAGCAAACATCTGGCATCAGAGTCCTACTCATCCCAGTAGATCAAAGTTTTTGCAGCTTGGCTGATCAATGAATCAGCTTAGTGCTCAGTAAATGCTTCTATTATTAATCATTTATTATCTTTATTTTTGTTGTTGCTGTCAAGTTCAAAGCTATGACTTTCAAACCCAGCTCTTTACAGATGAGGGATTTTACCCAGCCCCACGCTATCTTTCTGCCTCAGAATGACTCATTTACTGGCAATTTAAAAGTGAGTTAGCCAAACTAAAAGAGAAGCAAAACTCCCTCCGATGAGGCTCACACAAGCACCCTCTCCAGCCACGTCGGCTGCACAGGCAAGCAGGGAGATTTCAAAAACCACTCCGAGCTGAGTGAGTGCTCAGTCATGCAAGATGACATTTTTATAGCTATGCATAATGCCACCGCGAGGCAGTGACTTCTTTACTGGGAAGAATGCTGCTTAGCTATATCTGAAGTGACAGGGCAGGGGATTTGTTTCGACACAGAGTATCAACACCAGTCTCACCCTGCAGATTCACGCTTTAACGCAGTGCAACAAAGCATCTGGAACACACGCTGACGGTAATGAAGACGTCAGAGTGACGGAACGGGAAAGTTACAGGTAAGGATCGTAAGTCACAGAGCCTGGACCTAAACCCTAATTCTGTTTTTAATTAAGCTGAGGGTGGGGAGCACATTAACCAATCACGCTCTGTTTAAAAAATCGTAAAAAAAAAAAAAGGAAAAACACTTCACATTTTGGGTGTGTGGACCTCGCAAGCGTTGGGCGTTTGAAGTGATAAAGACAACAACGCATTATAGCCTCCAGTACGTGTGGGTTGGGGCGACATAGAGGACGTTCTTCGCTATTTTTGGCCACAGGAAACGGTGTGATGTGTCAAGAGGAAATTATATGATTAGGAAAAAAAAAAGGCATGTTTGTCTAATAAGAAAGCTGCACAGGAAATCTGTTCAGCGGTTCAGACTCGCAAACAAAGGGAGAGATACAAGTTATGAAGCATGGATTGAACAGACAGTTGTAATAAAAGAGAGTGTTAACTTAACTCTCCGTTTGTGTCGTTATGATTCACTATCAGAGCTTTACAGTCTGCAAAGTGTGTCTGCAGACCTGAAAACGACTCCCAATTGTTCCCAGTCCTCTGGTCTGATACTCTCAGCTTGAGCAATGAGACAAAACAAAGTTGTTTTTTTAGAGGTTCTGGCAAAGATGCTCAGTGCTCTTCCCCTAATCGCAGCAGTCAGTCTTGAGCATTTTCCAACCTGTTCGTGTTTGTTTAATGGCCACCGGTGACCCCTTCCACCCCATCTTCCTTATCAGCGTGCAGCACACATGGAGGAGCGTGGTTTCTGCAAAGACGCAAAGGTCCTTTCACGGCGTAACGCCTTGATGGCGTTTATCTGCCGAACAGTGTCCCCAACCTTGAGTACGGCTATGGAGTGGAATACATATTACAGCAGCCTGCCAGCGTGGGTAATCTCCACGGCCACATAGTGGCCATTATGGCACAGCTGGCATGCAAGACAGGAGGAAATGCAAGGCTGAAATTAGAAAGCTGGAAGACAAAATGCCCTCAATCTTAAACACAAATAGCAGCTGCCGATATCTGAGATACTGCCACGGTGCTGATTTATTCAGGTCATCTGTCTTTGTGGCAGCTTCTTTGTAACGAACAAAAATAAAAATCACACCTGATAAGCTTTTCTGTAAATAGTTCTAGCAGACTACTTCCCATAATGTCTGACTCATGTTCAAGTGAAACCAAATGGGAGCCCGAGCTGCTCCGTACACAGTAGCAGCCTTTATGAAGTGCACTTTGTGTCTTTCAAGGTGACCTTTTACCCCCTTTAACACCAACAGAGGACTGAGACCATGCCCTGCTTTCACACATAATAAGGCACAAATGATCGAGATGTTGAGCTCACGTGACAATTCATCACCCTGTTGTGCTTTGTGTTTGATCTCCTCTTTGCAAATACTGACAACACTTCCACCTAACCACATCAGTCAAGCTCTCTGGCCATATTTCAGCCACATACTTGAGAAACTCATGTTTGCAACAGCGAAAAGCAGCCCAGCAGATGCATGATGGGGTGTCCCTTAAAAGATCTGGCTTTTGTGAAGCCTGCGTCCTTGAGCACAACGTAGGCAGTTTGATAGATGAGGATAAGGCTCACTCAAAGCACGATTATAACCCGACACCCTCACTTTGAAACTTCCCAGAGGCTAGGAAAGATGGGGATGAGAAAGCGGAGACGTTCATTTAGGGAGAGCCTTGAGGAAATCGGCTCTTAAACGGAAACACCCCCCACCCCCCTCACTCCTCACCTCTTTGCATTCACGCTGGCCCCTCTACTAATTGGTCTCCCCTGTTTTCGTCCCTTAAGAGGCTCTTCCGGACGCACGCCGACTCCTGCGGGCGATTTCCTCCGAAACTTTGCAACAACGTTGTGCTCGAGCTGGGAGGGCGACTGGGAAGAGCTGCTGTCCTCCTCCGGCTCCTCTCCAACTTCTTTCAACAGCGGATCATCCGCGGCGTTGCCCCCCCAAAAGTACAAAAGTAAGAAAACTCCAAAACACACGGCGATCACAACTACTTTGCAGTGGATCCGCATGGTGAGAGCAACTTGTTGCGGTTGGAAGAGGCGGTCGGGACTGCGCTCATGTCTGCGGCGGAGGGAGGGCAGCGCGAGCTGACATTTTCTTACCGCTCCCCGCTCGCATTTTTCCGCAGATGATGATGGAGAGCGGAGTGCTGCTTCTCATCGTCCATAGAGGATTATACGGCGGAGGCGTGGCTTCCCCAGCCTTGCCGTAATGATTGAAGTAATAGCGCCACACGATAGTTCGACCAGACCGAAAGTATCTGAAATGTTTGTCTGTTTTATTACGCCACAGCTTACCTTCCCAAGGCAATGCTAATGCTTATGCTTAAATCTTAATGAATGCAATAGATTAACGATGGTGTCAGACTAGCTGCTGATTTGGCCATGGGAGTAATTTCATTCAGGGGATGCGAATTTTCAGCGAATTTAACTCGCTGTGCTACACTAGAACTGAGGGTTAAATATTCAATTTAAAGATTCGTGCTGCTCTCTTTCTTGTGTATGATCGGCAGAATCCTTGTCTTTGTGTTCGTTATTTATGTATTTATTTTACATAGACATTTAATGTAAAACCATTAATGAAAGTTAAATCAGCTCTGACTTTGGGTTTCACAGATCCTGTATTTAAAACCACGCTTAGCTAAAAGTGCTTCAGATGACTGGGGATAGAAGAGGACAAACAAAAATGATCTGCTAGAATACTTACAAGTTTGCATTGACAAGGGAGTGTTTCTCTTTGTGTCACACCACCTACAGTGGAGGCTTTCATCATGTCCAAAATTAAGGGAATGAAAAATAGATAAACATGTGCGTCACTTAATAATAATGTAACTGCTTATTATTATTATTTATTTTAATATTTGAAATAATAATATTAATTAAAGTATCAAGAGTGGCTAAATGTCCTCATTGTCCCCAATTTCAGCATATATCTACTAATATATAAGTTATAAGTTATAAATGATTTTAAATAAATTGATTATTATGTCATCTTCTGATAAAACCTTAGATTTTTCATTTCAACTGTTGACAGTAATGATTTTTTAAAATCAGCACTTTTTAACTGCCGTTTTCAACTCTGTATTACGGTAAAAGATGGACGCCACATCAAAGAGCTGCCAGCACTGCTTTTTGGGATAAGTCACAGTATTTGGGGTGAGTGTGGCTGCGTGTTAACTTTTTTTCAACATGCGTTGTATCAGCGATTTACTTGAACGTATTCGCAAGTCAATTTTCAATAAATACAGCAGATTAAAAGTCGTGTTGTAGCGGCTAGTACTGCTGCGTGCTACAGCAGCCCCAGACATGTGTTAGCTTGCTATACAGGCTAGTAGCATGCTAACCACGAGCGGAACTTCGTTTAAAAATTTGTCAAAATTGTTTGGCATAAAGATTATCAACACCGCACTCGCCTCTTTGACTACCACTTAATGTCGCGTAATTGTTATGGTGTGAGGTTAAATTCGGGCAGTTAGAAAGCTAATAAACAACAAGTTTTTGAATAAAAAAATGTTTATTGTTTATACACTGTATGTACATACCCAATTCATAATTTCGCTCTTAGACTGCGGTAATGTCACGTTAATGAATTGCTTACAGATGATTAAGAAATGAATTTCAGCTGTCACACCGGCGACAAGTTTTTCATTCCAGCTTCAAGAACATGATAAGGCAAAATGTAGAGATCTCACGTGTTTGCCAAAAAGCAGTACCAGTTTAAATGTCCAGATTTCTTTAACGTAGTTTGGTGTGATACTGCGTCTAGGCGACCGAAAACATGAAGGAGGACTTAAAAGCTAGCATTAAGCCACCATAAAGACCCCTTTTGTAAGTTACTAAAGATACAAGAAGCTGCCCGTTATGTTTGACGTGACCTGTGTTGGCAGTTTTCACCGTCAGTGGGACGTACGTGGTCTGGTCACGTGGTCAGCAACATTTAATAGAGTTATCCACCAGGTGGCATGCTATAATCAGCTGCCCCGTGTTAACACGGTCGGGCATGCATTCCTATACAGTGAAATTGACGCTTATGTCATTTCTGTAATTTATGCTGCAGAGCAGTATTACATCATCATTCAAGATGATAACGCCTGCGTTTGACCTGAGCCAAGAGCCTGACCACCTGATCCTCAGCATCCGTGTGCCCTACACCAGAACGTCAGACTTTGACCTTTACATTGATGGAACAGATTTAAAGTTTTTTGCAAAGCCCTACTTTCTGAGGTGAGTTAAGCAATGTACAGTTAATTGTTTCAAATGGCACCACCTACACCGCGCCTAAATTAATATTCAGAGTGTTTGTTTGTTTTTTTAATCGCAATGTTGAACTTAAAAGGGACATGATATTTGATTTTCAGGCTAACTCTTCCTGGAAGAATTATAGAGGATGGAAGGGAAAAGGCAAAGTTCGACATAGATAAAGGTAGGTCGCACGGCATTAACAGTATGAGGCAAATCAAAAGCTTGCTTGGGTGTTTTAGCTGCTTTAATTGGGTACCAGAGGACCACCTCCCCCTTTGTAAAGTTCCTGCTTGTGAATGTCTCTCACTCTGCAATGAATAAAATATCAGCACTCGATGAGGCAAGAGGGGGAAAAAGCAACTGTTGTCTTTTCCATTGTTTAAAAAAAAAAAGCTTCTTGTTAAAAAAAAAACATGCAACATTTCTTTTCAGTATCAAACATCTAACCTGCTGATATTAACCACTGAATTATACCATAATTTCCAATAATCCAGAAACTGAATAGGAGCTGCGAGGAGGATTCGTAGACTGAATGACGATTCAGACACAAGACCTCTGGTATGAAACACAGTGTCCCTGTGTGGAGGGATACACAGAGTGTTTCAAGTACTTGGGAGAACCTGTCACTGTCCCGTTGCACATATTCACTTGTTATATGGCCCTGTTTTTCTTTTTGTAGGAGCCTGGCTGTGTGTTTGGGTGCTTTGTCAGGCTGCAGATTTTATTTGTGACCAATTAACTGCTTTCCAAGTTTAGCTGGGATAATGTTAGCTCATAACCAGCTGTTGTTGTTTAGCTGGCTTGTTGTCAGCTGTCTGGAGACAGGAGGGTCGCACGTCTAATCTGCTGACAATAAAAAAACAAAAAAAAAAAAACTGCAGTAATATTGGGAATACATAAGCACGGTTTTATGTGTTTCAGCCCGACTTCCGTTCAGGACATGAGGCTTGAGGTGAGGAGGAAGAGGCTGTGGTAGAGATGAATGAGAGAGACATGATGAGAAAGAGATGATGAAAATATGCACAGATAGATGTTAAATGGTCATGTATAGCTTGAAATGGATACTTTTCATTTAAAGATCACAAATAACTTCTGAGTCATACTATGATTGTGGCCGGTGTATAGCTACATACATAAAATGCGATTAAATGGAACGGCGGTGTCCATCCTGCCCACTGTATGCGAGATGTTGGGGCAGCACGTTAGCTTTATGGATTCTTTCTAAGTTTATTAAAAGGCATCAGTTTGCTGGAAGATGTAATAATGCACGAATCAATGTATAAAAAAAACCAAGAAAAACTTACTGAACCTTTAAGATATTCACCATGGGGAATGAAATATCAAAGCAAAAATGTGGCAGCAGCATGCTATGAAATGTCTGTTTGAGGTGTCTATGTGAACACAACTTACAAGTGGTACTTTTGGTAAATGCTAAGGTTGTAGACTGTATTATGTATGTACATAGTTTACTACAGCCATGCTTTCTTTGCATTTACTGGCCTTACAGAGCCTTAGACCCTAATCAAGACTTGTGGAAATCTGAAATAAATTGAGGTGCACACATCCTGGTTGTCTGTGTGAGTTTTGTTTACCTTTGCAAAGGGGTCAGACAAAAGTACAGACAGCATGACAGCAGTCTGCATGTTTCTGACAAAGAGGGATTGTAGCCGTAGAATATTTGTAGACACAAGCTATCTGTCTGCCATGGTCACAGAATACATTCAGAACGTCGTGTACAAAAGATAACTTTTAGAAAATGTGTGATGTATCTGAAAGATAACATGGAGACAGAATAAGGCAGTATGGAGCTTTTCATTCAGCAAGGTCAGCTTGACACAGAAGTAGTAGTCTTACGATTTTTTTTATTGGAGACATAGTTGGTAACACGACGTCTGTAGTTAATTCAGGATGTGATTTCTTTGTTTCTGCTTCAGAATGTGAGCGCAATTAAGGGGTTTTGACACATTGTTTGACCCTTCTGTCATGTATTTGCTTTACCCCTTTAGTGTGATTGTTTTTTAAGGATAACTCAGAAATTTGAGCAGAAGAAGAGGCTGGATTCAACATATAATCACAGACACAGTTCTAATTTAACATGGAAAACGTGGGAGTGATTGTCTTAATGTTCCCAGGGAAATGTTGTTTTGGTTTTATTGCTTGAGCAGTGGTGTTTCATGCATTAGAGCTCAGAAAGCCTCATTTAAACACGTTATGAATATGCAATTTTTCCTGTCAGCTGAGATCTAGATCACTTTTAGAACATGTGATTCTGTGACAATGTGGCACTTCCTGTAGATTTTAAACCGAACCTCTGTGTTCAGCACACGTTACCTTGTTAATCTTTTTAGGTGGAAAAAATGAGATTCACAGTATAAATGTTCTTGCTTTAAACCTGCTGGCTCTCTGGGGACTTTGCTGTGTGGAGTCTTCCTCCCACAGCCCAAAGACATGCATGCTAGTTTAGTCGGTGAGTCTAAAGTGGCTGTAGGTGTGGCCATGAGTCCGCCTCGCTGTGTTAGCCTTGTAATGACTGAGCAGACAGACCTCACATCTTGTGCTGTGACAGCTGGGATAGGCTCTGACCTTCTCCTCTCTGCATCTCCTTTTAATGACTCCAGATTGGGTGAAGAAGGGTGTTAAGTGGATATCAAAAATAACATTTTTTTCATACTTTAGAAAACCAATTTTGTTTATGTTTGATTGTATTTGGACTTCATGGCATATTGTGACAAAATTATTGCTGTGTTTGCTTCACATGATGTTGGTGATGATGTTGCACTGTCACAGTTCCAGTAGCAGTCACCGATTGTACCTCGGGGGCATCTCCCCTTTATGCTTCAGTCATTCGATAAATGGTAAATTAGCCTTAGCTGGTCATGTTATTTTATCCCATTTAAATGGATGCTGGAGCCATGTTTAATGTCATAATGATTACAGAGTGCAGGAAGCTCTGTTGCACTGACTGTGACAGCTCATGTGGGATTTTCTTTAACTCTTTAATGAGCAAATCATAATGCTTATGAGTGTGATGTTGACTACTTCCCATCGCTGTGGTCTGTCTTTGACGTTCCCTTGCCCATAATCAGTCATAATGAAGCCGTCTTTACGCAGACATCTGCCTTATGGACTCTGACACCTCGTTGCCTGTCTGTCAGCATGGCCCCAGTTAACACGCAGCGTCCAAATAAGCCTGTAACATCTGCTAATAAAGCTCCGCTAATGAGTGTCCTTGTTTAGACTTATAATGAGCAATCATTAAGATCCCTCTTCCGGGCTCTCCATTCTGCAAGGCCTGCAACTCGAGCAATTAGTCATCTCCCATTGTAAAGCACTTCAAAGCCCTAACGCTTGGGTGTATTGAAAGTTTATGAGGTCTTTAGGCAACCATCAGATTATCTCTGCGTCGTTGCCAAGCCGTTCAAATCATCAATCATGTGTTGCCTATTTAGTTTTAATAGCGGTTCTGTGAAGCAGCTCCTGGAGTATGAGGCACGGTGCGGACAGATGGCCTGGTTGATCAGCAATGGTTTGTTGTAGAAACATGCATGGAATCATTGACTTCAGTAATCCATGATTTGAGTTGGATTTGATGCTGTATGGTATCAGGTATTTGTCATGTTGTTATGTAGGACTTAAGATCTTCTCTGATATTTATTGTGGTGTCTCTTTTAAAATGTCTGTGATCTAAATTCTCATCTAAAAGTTACCCCAGCGCAGTGTGAAGTCTAAAAGCAGCTTTGTTTGGCTCATCAGCAGTCGCACACACTCAGTCTAAAATGTTATGAAATGCAGGAAAGCAAGTAAATACTCATTTGAGGAATGCTAATTATCTAGCTTTGCGGGTCAGCTAATCATAGCTACAATTTTAATCATTCCTTATTATGATTTATTTTTTTCCCCAAAGGAAACTGCAGGTTTTGAAAAATCTTAAAAAAACATTGAATTAAGGTACAGAACAGTCTCTCTCAGCCTGGGTAGGGAGTAGTGTCGGTTGGAAAACAGTTTTTGTGTCTGGCTGGAGGCTGTTTAGATGTTGTGTACTTCTTGTGATCTAAAGTATGGAGACATTGGACTGTGTGGGCAGTGGCTGCCTTTCCACTGCAGGGTGGGAAAAACAGTCTGCTTGCTGCGACTGTGGAGCCCTACTCAGTGAGTATTTCAGGCATGCTAACAAGTACATACCCCACAGTAGGTGCTTTTTCCTACAGCGGCGGTTCAAGCAGCTGAAACAAGCTACGTATTTCCTACCCCTTTCACACACTCTGCCAGATGCTGGGGGGGGGGTCTCTGCTCGCCAGGAGGGTCGTGAGGTCAATGTATGTGCAGGTGCATCTTTGCGTTTTGGGTATTGGGTGGTTCTTGGGTACCTGGAGCCCTTGGACCCTGATCTCTGTTCACACCAGGGAGGGAGGCCCCTAATGGAGTCGGCTGCACATTGCCTCTGGGACTAACACCTCTTGGCGCCCTTTTAGGTCCTCCCTCCTTCTCCTGGTGGGATGGGTGCACAGATATCGCAGAGATGTGTGGTCTTAGGTCTCCAGTCCTCTTGCATCATGGATGGTGCAGTCCTCTCAGATCTATTTCTGTCTGCCTCTGGCTCCTGGGGGGTGTTATTGCTGCTTCCCGCCTTCATTTTCAAGTACATTTCATGACAAAGACACACACAATACATTAAACATGTGATCTCTTACACGTGCTATGTTGCTATAGGTCTTTTCACTCTTTGGGTCCCTAAGGAGACACCGGGAGAGCACTTCGAAGGTCTTCAGATGCTAACAAGTCTCCTCGCCCCAAAGGGCTCCCGTTCAGCCAAACCATTGGTGGAGGAAGTGAGTACTGGTAAGTCATTTATTCATTTGCTTACCTCGCTTGTCCAGACAGTGTTCAGTTTGTGCACACGGGTGGAAAAGATGGCATACAATCTACAATGTGGTGGCTTTTTATCATTTCTAAAGAGTGCAGTGAAAGGGTGGGAGATAATGAAGACGAAGATGAAGAAGACTTTGATTGGCAAGTTGAGCAGGAGATTTACACGGAGAAGTCTGAGGAAGAGCTGAGAGCCCTGCAGAAATACGGCTTTGGCAATCAGAGGTGTGGAGTATTTGCCCGACTGCAGGTAAGATCCATGGATAGATGAAGGTGCGTTACAGATTTGGACTTTAACTCACCCGTGCTGTAAATGTTCTTCAGAAAGAGCTCAGTGACGTGATCGACATCAAGAACCCAGAAGGAACATCAGCAGCAGAGAGGAGGCAGGCTCGGCTGGAGGCAGAAGCATCAGCCTTCTCTACTGACCATTACCTGTAAGTTTAACAAGGCTAAAAACCTCTCAGGTAAAGCATCTTTAATCCTCTTCTGTTTTTACTCAGTTATAGCTGCGTGTAATTGCAGGGCTGATTGGTTTGAGGATGGTGAGATAAAGGGGCTGCTGAAGTTTAGGCCATGGTGGACAAAGCTGAGCCCTTCTTCAGAGCAAGAGGGCGAATCTGGTGAGTTTATGTCATCATCTAAATCTGTTTAATTACTGTTGTTGAGATAAGTCTCTGCTTTGGCTGTTTCTAAAAAGGAGACATAAATTAATAAGATAAACGTGCTGTAATAAGAAGCATTGGGTGACAAAGTACTCATGTCAGCAAGTAAATCTCCTGCCTTTGAATCAAACTAAAGTAAAGGAACACGTGCATTACTCACTAAATGCACTTAAAAGTATTAAAGAAAGATGACTTGCTCTTGAGAACATGGCATGATACTGTTATGGAAAATGTTAAAATGTTCTTACTGATACATAACGATGTGTCAGCAGCGTTTCAGGATTGTAGCTGGATGACACACAGTGTTTTTTGTCTACTGTAGAGAAAGTCCTGCCACACAGATTTGTTTACATTTGTCTTTTTAATGTTAGATTTATTGTAAAATATGACAAAACCAGAGTTTTTAGTTGGATCAGGATCAATAATCCCACTAACAAATCCTGCAGATCTGTTGTGATTGGCCCACATTGGACATTTTTCTGTGATTGGTCCAAAGTCACAAATTTCATTTTTACATGGTGTGAAAGGAAACGAAGTTGGAAAATAAACCAGTAAAAGTCCCAGTTTTGTCACTGTACGGAAGTTTAACTATATATTTAATACTTGAGATATCTTAAGGCAAGGAACAGAGGTGGAGTTTTAACAGTTTCTATCACTCAGCCATACGATGCTGATGGGGTATTGTCATCACCGTGCAGAGTGGGCGGACGCATAAGTTTGTGAATGCGATAACTCAAGAACGAGGAACATAGGAGTTTGAAACTGATACCATAGGTATGTTGACTAAAGGTCACAGACTGGTTTGAATCTCAGTGTGAGACCCCTGCTCTAGGAGATGTAGTAGAGTGGAAAGGTAAAAAAACATTAAACTGAAATACTCTGCATAGTAAAATCTGAGTACTTTAAAACTGAACCTGCATGTGCATTTTAAATAAGTACTGAAAGTATCATGTTAATGTTTTCAGTTACTTTCCATCACTGATCTAGAAACACTCAGACCTGATACCCAATGTTTTGTAGTAGTTTAGTGTGCTGTAATGTGTTTGCAAGGTAATCATGAGCAACTCACATCTGCATTTTTACATATGCAGTGCATGCTTTACCGCCCTCAGTCTGCATCCTTTATGTCCAATTACTTAAAACAATGTCACACACATTCTGTGACCTGAATGCGGATCATTCATCAAGCTATTGGAACAGCAGCAAAGTAATTACTGAATGCTACCAGGAGGTGGCATGACATTTCAAAAATAAAGAGAGCAATCGTGCATTGTTTATTATATAAGTTTAACCTCTCACTGATCATTTTCCCATTCGCTGTATTTTAAATCGTCTCCCCAGTACTTCTGCGGATTGAATCAGGGCGAAAAAGAGTGTTACTGCTGAGCTTGTCAGACACTGACAGTATATGAAATCCTAAAGGACGCACAAGTCTCTGCAGCGGGCCCTTCTAACAGAAGGACAGACCTCAGCTTGTGCTCCCTGCTAAAAGTGCCGCGGGGCACTTGAACAGGAAAGACACTTGTCATTATGAAGGATTGAACTTGGACTTTCCCTAATCTCTCCATCCGTCTGCTGCCTGCTGACTAATTTAAACTATCATTTTTTTTCTCCTTTCTCAACATTTCCCGTCTGCTTACATTAATAGTCTATGAATTTGGTTTGAGAAGAGTTGCTTGTTGTCCGGAGGGGTCCCGGTTTCCTCTCTTTGTTCAGCCACTTCCACGGGAGTGATAGCTTGTGAACCCTAGCACTCTGAGAGACCGTGTAATTGTGCCATCCAGCCTCACTAACAGTCTGCTAATTCCAGACCTTTCACTGCGGCTCACAGCTACAGCCTGTGTGCAGTGAATGGATGTTGTACGCTTAAGGGAGGATTTAGATTAAACAGATAGCAGCGTTGCTGGAGGGAGTGCTGCCGGCCGTGCTTTTACCAGCGCTGACGAGCAGCCATCAGTCAGCGCGGCAAAAGCCATTAGCCTCATCTTGGAGTTTAGCCTCTGACGAACATTACGGTTCACTGTAGCTCCGCCGGCTCCCTCTCCTCATTCTGCATTCTAAGACAGAGTGGCTCAGTCGGGAGCCTGGGCGTAGATAAATGGGCCAAATTAAACTTAATGGCTTGATTGACAGCTCGAATAGCATTAGCCTCAGCCGAGTGTGAAGAATGGCGTCAGTCAGGAGATTTAAGCAGCTTGCCGTCAAATCTTGAAAGCGTGCTCATGATTTTAACTGTTTGCCATATTTTTCAAACGGAGATCTCCAATTCCTCTATCTGGGTTTACTAGACACCCCCCCCCCCCCCCCCCCCCCTCGCTTCTGCTAAGCCTGATATATATATATATATATATATATATATATATGTATGTATATATGTGTCACCTGACAGATGGATGTGGACCCAAGTGCTAATGAAGTAGAAAACAAGAAAACCGGCCCCTTTGTGCTCTCCAGTGTCAGGGCCAGCGTGCTGACAGGCCACAGCTGTCCACTGGAGGCCTGTATTAACGCACTGGTCCAGCTTAAATGCTCCTGACAGCTTGGCCTCTCTCTCTCTACCTGACACTCTTTGTGTCTTTGTTATGGCTAGATGTAGAAACCGGACCTGTGACCAGCTTAGATGGTCTTCTGCTGATTTAGGCCGCAACACTGCTCACGTCTGAACAGACTGATCATTAAATGTCCCTTTGATTCGATCTTTGACATCATCACAGTGTGAGTGCGCAAAATTAACCGACTCTCGTATGCACGGTCAAACTTTGACCTCTAGCATTTGTGTGATTCTGAGCATTTTCCAGCCCTCAGCAGTATTTTCACCAGGCATATTTGCTCCATGCCATCCGGCCATCTGGACCTGTAGAGAGCAGTGACGAGCCAGGCTTCCGTTCCAACAGGAGGATTTAGGTCAGAAATTAATTTGCAATCAGCAGAGGCCCTCATAGGCTGTGTGCTAATACCCACTAGAATCGACTGGCTCCGTAGTGGAGATGAATGAACGTGGCGGTGGGTAAATCGGGTACGCGGAGTTAATAGAAAATATATCAGCAGCATGAAGCTGCTGGGTCTGTGCTGAAGGAGAGAGAGGCTGCTTTGTTTTTCCTCAAGTGCTCACGCATCCTTGCATTTGCACGCACGCATGTGTTTGAGCGACACAGATGCGCATTCACTTAGATAGCTGTTACTTAAGCTAGTGAGTCACTTTGGTGTTTCATATTTATAGCTTCTCCCCTTATCTCGGTGCCTGTACGGTTACGTTAAAAGCGCACATGCACGCAGATCTTTGTGTCTGAGCTCTCCCTCTGCAGCTACACTGACGAGGGACTCGGGTAGTGTCTGCAGGGAGCTGAAACCTGACGTAATGCAGCAGGAATCTCCTTCGCAGCACAGCCAAGTTCCCACTGCAGCCAAGGAGATCACTCTGAAGCGCTGCCTGTGCGTGTGTGTCTGTGTGTGTTTGTGTGTGTCTGTGTATATCAAATGTGTTTGTGTGTGTGCATTTGCTCCAGCCAGCACACACCTTGCACACCAAGGGCTCGGAGCAGGGACTCTCTTTTTCTCATGCAGAGAGAGGGATTGCTTTCAGCTGTTTAATAAGCTGCTTGGTGGGGGGAGTTGGAGTTACAGCATGTTGCCGCAGACATTCAGCATGCCTTTCAATACTGAATGATCGCAGATCGCTTAAAATGGGATTGAAGTCTGTTTGTGTCGCCCCATTAGGCTTGCCACAGATCCCCATTAAGCAGATGTCTCTTTCAAAAGACAACAGTTAGCGAATTTGCAGAGAGAAAGGAAGCTGAGGTTTGGAGATATTTTCATGTTACAGAGCTCCAATTTTTCTTAATGCAAAGCCACTTTGAAACACGCACAGTACTAATAACATCAGCTCTGCTAATTTAGCTTATTTAATATGGGCCTATTTGTCCTATTTTGCTTCTGCTTTTCAACACAGAATCTAATCAACAATCACGCCACAGCCATGGACTGGGCAACAGTCAAAATGTGTGTGTGAGAAAACAGCGTGCAAACCTTCAGTCTGGGTTTCATCCGAAGACACCGTCACAGATGACAGATTCTTTTTCTCTTGTATAACCTGTGCACAGTTATTAGGCATGTCGTATTTTGGGGGATTAATTTGATTATCAGCAACTACAGCGCTCGCGATCAATCCAAAACGTTACATAAAGTCAAACCTGATTATTTAAGACAGTAAAAGTTTTGGCTTTTGTAGAGAATATCTGTGTGTATGTGAATGTTGGGCAGTTATTGGTGTTTAGAATTATTGTGCAACTAAATTACATTTTACAACTACATTCCACAAAGAAAGGACATGAGATTTTGGATATGTTGGATGTGAAATTGTCATATAGCATTGCAATTTTGCGAAAAATGTATCCTCAGAAAATGCATGAGAAAAAAATGAAGTCGACATCAAGCCATCGTGAGCTGGTCCTGATGTTTCCGAAGGAAAAAAGGAAGAAATGGAGATTCTGGATTCATTTATTTGTCGCAAGAAAGCAGCAGCATGGAGAATTTCACTGTTTGATCCAGGAGTCGAAGCTTTCGTGCATATTTCAGGATGTCAGTCTGAGCTCTTGCTGGTAGAGTTGGGACCACATTTGTGGAAGTGGAGAAATGCGTTCGGAGAGAAAGAGATCGACCCGGAGCAGCGTCTAGCCATATGCTTGAGGTAAAATAGTTATTTTACTGTGGAAAAACGTGGTTGGTGTGAACGCCCGCGTTGACTCTAAACTCTAAATTTACAAATAAACATTTAAAACAACATCTGTGACCAGTATAGCAACCCTTTTTTTTCTGTTTTTTTCCAGTCATCAGCCTTCCATTCATAAAGCCTGTCAGTTCTCGATAGGATTTTAGGTGAGGTGAGGCAGGGGACTGTGTCATTATTCTTTCATCTTTTTGCGATGGAGCATTGTCCTCCATAAAAACCACTCTCTTCTTGACAGATTCAGATCTTTTCCTGCACCTGCTTGAAGACGGTGTCTTCTAAAAACTGGCAGTAGTTTGTGAGCTGATTTTGAGGCGATCTTTAATCCAAAAGGTCGATTTTAATGACACCAAGATGTACCAGTACCCTACCTCCACCTTGCTGGCATCTGGCGGAGCTCTGTGCCTGTTACTGATACTGATCTGGCCTTTCAAGAATGATTCTCATTTCTTCAGTCCATAAAACCCTTTACAAAAATCTGTCTTCAGATATTTCTTGGCGCAGTCTTGATATTTTAACTTAACTTGGTCAGTGGTGGGAAGGTTTCAGTCTTGGACATGAACTAGAGCTGACCAATTCACACCACGAGCCACTGCTGTTTATATTGTTAGGATTTGGAAGCTACACATTGAAACTGATGATATAGTCAAAATGCTTACTTGCCTTATAATTGTGCGCACAGCGTTTATGCAACGAGACATAACTGTATATCAGTTTGCGGTAGGAAGACTATGACTTTTCTTGCCCTGACACAGTGGATGTAGTAAGACAGGGAGAGGAAAATCCATTTGATGCAGTCGTTTTGTTGTGTGGATTCTGGGATTTGAGGAGGTGGACAATGGTTCCTGCTTGTTAAGACTATCATTTGCTCTTGCTGTCCGATCTTTTTGAGTGGCACACTACACTGTGATTTTTATTTTTATTTTTTTTTGGTTAATAAAAATGGAAATCTAATCCAGCATCATCTGAATAAGAATAAATAAGACGGGTGTTTTAGTTTTCATTGACATATTCTCACACACAGCTGGACTGTAATCTCCAGTATTTCGGCGACGTGCTATGTCTATCACGGACGTGCGGTAGTGTGTGTATTTTATTTTCTCTTAAAATGCGTCAGGATTGGTCACAAATCTGTCCATATTTAACCCTACCTCACGTCTCATTGTAATTCAAAGGCTCTCTTTTGTGTGTTCAACACGACTACAACACGAGGTTAGCAAAATGGCATGCAGCTCATATTTATCCGGCTTAGTGTGGACATAATCTTAAAGACTTACTGCACTAAACCTATTTTTATTAAGCTGTTTATCCCTGCAGTGAGACTATGTGCCTCACCTCGATGCGTGCTGGTTTCAGTATGTATTTGATGTGAAAAATCGTTAATTTGCGTCTTTGACTTGTGGCCGAGGAGCTTTCTTAAATGATGTGTCTGTTGACTGTTTGTAAAGTCATTTACTGACAGTACGTTGCAGGGAGCTTACCTGTGAGAAGGAGCCTAACCACTGTGACCTCTTCTCACACCCACAGCTGGATTCTTTTTGTCTGCGCATTAAAAACTAGACTGCTTCGTGTGTTTTGACTGTCTAATCTTTGGTCTCGTGCAGCTGTACCGTTCACTGATGATGAGAAAGAGCAGCTGAGGAAATTCACCAACCGCTCCTACCTGCTGGACAAGGCGTCTCGTTACCAAGCGTGGCTAAGCCTCGTGGACATCCTGCTGGCTTACACCTACGAAGTGCGCTCGACGGAGGGGGAACACAATGTGAGTGTGTGTGTAGATATGTGTGAAGAGGAAACTCCTCCTGAGCAGCACTTATCCTTGGATAACAAAGCCCTCTATCCTCACATCCTTTAGACCGCCTTCCATTTTGTTCAGAGCCTTAAGAGATTACCAGCAGATCCTAAAGCTCAGTCCAGGTCTCCCTGTGTCACTTCACTAAAGGTAGCTGCTGCAGCAAGGCGAGAGGAACAAATCTGATTGCCTTGTTAAACCATGTGGTAAATATTTGATACAGCCTTAATGTTGAATTAAATCTCAGCTATGAAAACAAAATCTGTCATAGGTGAATATTTTAATTCCACTCGGTATTATAATGTGGAGCCTCCCCCCACTTTATTTCCAATGGTTCGTAGCCTGCTCTTTACAGAACTCTGAGCATCTGCTTCGCTGTGGTGCTTTCACTTTATTTCAGTGGATGTTCTTGTAGCGTTTCTTGTCTGTTATTGCACCGATGACAAGTTTCTCTCTTCTTCCCTGGAGGTGGAAACACCGTGGACTATCAGAAAACTCAGTGGGACTCTGTGCTGGCTGGAGGTGAGTGAATTATAACGCAGCAAGAAGCACTTCAAGAGCGCAAACCTTCACCAAGACAACTCACTCTCTGGCCTGTATTCATTTTTGAGGGAACAGTATTTATTTTGTATGTATTCATTTTATTTTCTTTGTTTGTTTGTTTTCTTTAAATGCACTTTAAGAAGTTTGCAGTGCAGTAAAAACCAGAGCAGGGCTTTTCTTATTTAGCCTGTTGAAACCCATTTCATATATTTGATGAAGTTGGCAGATGTGAAACGTTGAAAATGAGCTCAAAGGTTAATGTGATATGTAGAATCCCCGTATATCATTCTCTATATGCTCTCAATGCAAACAATGGCAGTAGGAATAGCTTTATATAGCTCTATGTAGCGTTATTATCACTTTGACCTTCAGATCACACCTTGACCTTGAAGGAGAGGTCAGAGGTCACGCTCTATATGTTGACGATACCACACCACACTTCTGATTTATAAGGCCTTTTGTCAATTTCCCACCAATAAATCATGAAGTTGACCTTGGAGACCTCGGTTGCTGTAAGCTAAATTTTGTTGGGTTGCTAACATGACTCCACTCTGCACCCCTACAAAGTTGCATCAGAGTTCATTCAAAACCTTTTGAGCTGTCGTGTTCACAGACAGAACGATTGGTTTTGAGATGTATGCGGTGCAACCTTCAACCGACCGCTGGACTCAACCCCAGTACTTTTTTGTTGTGCTAACCGCTGCGCCTCTATGCTACCCACACCCTCGAGAAGCACCGCATGCATTTGTTACACAACGACTGTCTGTAGCAGTAACAGTTGCTTCAAGGTGCTGTATGTTGTAAGTAAAGACCTGACAATAATACAGAGAAAACCCCAATCATCAGACCACCTAAAATGAGCAAGCACTTGGCGACAGTGGAAAGGAAAAACTCCCTTTTAACAGGAAGACACACTAGCAGAACCAGAAGAGGGGCCTGAAAGCTAAAGGCTCTGACTCCCATTCTACTTTAAAACTCAAGTAAGCCCGCAGTCCAAGAACAAAGCGGCAGAAATCATGGCACAACTGTATTTCAGGTTAGGGCTGTTCGATATAACGATATATATATTGGATGACGATATAAAAACGTCTATCGTTTCATTTTACGCTATCGTTTGTTTCGTGGTGTCGCAAAATAAACTGTTTACGGCAATATTTTTTCATCGTTCTGATGGTCACTGTAGTGGCTATATTAATTTCTTAAAGTTCTCTCTTTCTCTTATATTTAATATAACCACACTACGGACGGACAAGCACCTGTTTTTATGCGTTGTCATTAGCAACAACGACGGTAACACCATCGCGTGTCCGCTTATTTATGTTCCATGTAAACCTTTCACAATAAAGCTCAAGATCCTGTTGAGACTTTTCAAAATAAACTGAATCACGTGAAAGAGCAGATTATTTACGGATGAGAAGTCAAAAAGAGCCGCCAGGTGCTAAAAAATAAACCTTAGACTCAAATGTTAGAACAGGCTTTTACCCGCAGCACGCCGTGTAATAAATACTCACAAAGAAAACGGCGGCCTTTACAACTTATGTCTTAAAATGTATTGTTTCATGCATCGGTTAAAACACTCGACTCCAGGTACATGACACGCAGCTGGAAACACTTCCCGCAAGTCGAGCTGCCCGAGATTCACAGAATTTACAGAAAACGTTACATTTTTGTGATTTATATCGTTATCGGGACGATAGATGTCTTATATCGGGATATGAGATTTTGGTCATATTGCACAGCCCTATTTCAGCTGCTATTTGTAGCTGTGTCTTTGACCAGCGGTCCCCAACCTGCATTGGGCCATGGACCGGTTTAATGTCAGACAATATTTTCACAGACCGGTCCTTTAAGGTGTCGTGGATAAATACAGCAAAATAAAATGATACGACCAAGACAAAAACTGTGGTATTTGTAAATATAATAATAAACGTGAATTCACTGTGTAACCGGTCCATGGCACAATAAAGGTTGGGGACCGCTGGTAACTTTTATCAGCAGAGTCCTCCTGAAATGCACCAACCACATTGAGAGTAACATCCTCCTCTCTGCCCCATAATGCTCTCTGGTCGCTATGGTAACGCTATGGTAAGTTAATAATGGCATTGAAGTTTTCTTGCAAACCCTCCTCCTGGAAAGTCAAGTGTTAAGAAAAAAGAAGTGACAGGCCAACCTTGTCTGGCATTTTCTGCAGTCTTTGTAAAACGATTAAATAAATAAATAAAATGCTGTGCCTGTATTGAACCACAGGCTGTTGTTGAAACAACACAATTTGGATATAACTAAGAACGCCATAAATAAATATAAAAGTTTAGCTCCTCTTGTTATCCTCTCAGGCTTGTAGCTCCGCAGCAGCTACTGTCTGGCGGGTAGGCTGGATGTGGTAAAAAGTAATTAGACTCTTGAGGGGAATGTCAAATGCATCTGCGAGTCTGTTGCATATAAAGTTTCACTTTGTGTAAATATATTGATACCCTGGCTGATTTTTCTTTTCTTCTTCTTCTTTTTTTTTGCCTTTTCCGTTACTGATATTTGCACTGAAGTAAACAGAGCGGGCCCAGGCTCCATCTATCTGTCAAACCAGAGGCATTTACTACAGCAGCAACAGGCGCTCCCAGCTGAAATTCTGAGTGTGTGTGATCTGTCTTCTACTGTCTGCTCTCACAACCTGCCATGAGACCATCGCTTTAGTGTACAGAGGGTGTTTGAACAGCATCAGACACAGGAGTCTAAGTTGTCTAAATTGAAAATCTCCATCCAGTCTGTTGTTTTCTGACAAGTTTGCTCTTCACATTGACACCGCAAAACAGCAGTGAGTGCATGGCAGGGTTTTAATAGCTTTGCAATTTTCATTAGTTTTTATTTTTATTTAGTTTTGACTTCAGATTTTCAATTTTATATCAGTTTTAATTAGTTTTTACCAATTGTTTGCTAGTTTAGTTTGTATTTTTTTTGAAAATCCTTAGTTTCAGTTTAGTTTTGATTAGTTTCAGTTATAGTTTTAGTTGTTTGCAATAATTAAGTGTAACAAAATCCCAGTTTCATCATATCAGTCATTCTCTTCTGCTTATCCTTGGTATGTTGCTATTCCAGCTACCATACCCTGCACCCTGCACAGGTCGCCTGTCTGTCGCAGGGCTAACACGCAGAGACAGAAAACTCACATTCCCACCTATGGGTTCTTTAAACAAATAAATAAATAAAGGCAGATGAACAACCATTGATACCAGGCAACTATAAAATGTATATCTTGGCCCCAATGAGACTATTAACTCTTGCAGCACCAGGTGTTTGTAATTTTGGTTCAAGTGAATTGATAAACTTTTTGAAGGCAATTGACTCACACAGTTATGTAGATATCCCCATCCTGTTGTCTCGGGATGCATCACGCTGCCTTGTTAGCGTCTGTTTCTGGGGATGAGGGTTGAGTGTGCTCCCTTACCTTCTCAAGGTAAGCTAGGTTAGCCTTCTTGTGTGAGCTTTTCAAGTGCACTTTAAGGTTTGTGGGATTTTTTTCCCTTTAGAAATGTCCCTCATAATTTGTCTCTTTCCACTACAAGACACTTGCTTTATCCAAAACACAGTCATATTCAAAGTAATCCCAAATTGGACTCTGGCGCTTTCTCCCGACTTTTCCTGACATGATTCTGCGCGTGGTCGGAGCAGCGACACAGACGACTCGACTAACGTACTGCCACCTGCTGGCATAATGAGACACGGCAAGAAAAAAAATCTGGAAACTAAACTTCATTTTCACTCTATTGTATGACACGCACACATCAATGAAAACTAAACACATTTTTGCTATAAATTCTGTTAATTTTAGTTAGTTTTGTGAACACTCATTACAGTTTTAGTTAGTTTTGCTTTTTTTATTTTATTTTTATTTCCGTTAACGAAAATGTTTTTTCACTTCTAGTTTTCGGTATTTCGTTAGTTTTCGTTAACGATAATAACCTTGGTGCATGGTCCCTGACAACCCAGCTCGGCCATGTTTGGGCAGAAATTCCATTTGCTGTATTTTGCGTCATGCAGTTACACCACAGTTAGTTATGTTGCTTTCTGGGCTACATTATCGTATAAAGTATTTCTGTGAAATTGTGCAAATTCTAGATGTCTTTGTCTGTGTGCAGTTTAGACTTCACAAGTATGATATAGTACAATACTCTGTTAACCACTGATTCTTGATCAGACTGATAAAGTCATTAGAGAAATGCAAAATGGTTTTGACTCATTTGGCTTGTTTAAAGGAACCGGTTCACTGAGAAGTGTGCATAGATTTGCTGAGTAAATCCTGACCTGAAACAGATATGCTTGCTTCAGAGCTTTCACATTTTACTCAGCACTGTTATCCAGATTACACATTAACGCCGCTTCTTGGAACAAGATCAAGTATTTTGTTGTGCAATATATTGTCAAATGGGAAGAGGTGGAAGTGACCAAAAAGCCTCTTCTGTGAGGAGTCATTTTGAAGGTATAGTTATGGGTGCACACAAGTTAGTGTACTCCTAGTGCCTGGATAAATAGGGGAGGTTGTTTCAGGAACGGCATTTGGTGTGAGATCTTTGCTGAATCAAGCATGTGGATCATCTGAAATGAGATTTCAATACCGGATTGGTTGAGGCTTGGTAGGTGCTGCTGGAAACTGTGCTACTGGATGTGGCTGAAGACAGTCAAGAGGAAGAGGAAATGGGGAAGGCACAGCTAGGTTGGCTTTGACACCTTTTCATAAGTGACCCGCTTTTTCGAAATTTTAAGAAATGAAAGTCAAAAAGCATTTCAGGTCATATTAATAAACTGCTAGTACATACGCCTCCCATGATTATAGGACCAGTTTCTTGTCTGTGTGTTGAACTAGCTTTAGATTAGACACCAGTGCCACGTGAAGGAAGGCGCTTAACAATGACACAGAGAGACTGTGGACATACTTATATTGCTGCATGCAGCTACCTTGTTTCACCTCATCTCATTACTCAACGTGA